TGAGTTTATATATTTTTCTGCAAGCATGATGTCTTGTGAACTCTAGAGTATATAACGTCACTGATGTTGTTGCAAGCAGTTGTCCTATACATGGTCCAATTGCATAAATGGGAAAGGTTGCGTCCTTTATAATGCAACCATGAAGTCTTGCGAACATTGAAATGTGTTTTAGGTCAAAGGCAAAATTATTGTTTATTTTTTATTGTTCCATACGTGCACATGTTTGTAGGCATTTTTCTTTTTTTACAACGTCATATTCCCATGTGGCACACAGCACCAGGCGATGCTCATCATGTTTATGCATATACTGTCCCTAAGTATAACATTGCGGGAAAATAGAAGTCCGAGCAGGATCACATCCCGCGGATGTGTACAAATTTACCCTAAGTACAGGCGTGGGGCAAAATCACATTTGTAATATGATCTGTGCGGATAGCAGTACTGCCGTCGCTTGTTTTTTTTTTTTTTTTATGGTCCATCGTTTACTATTTTTTTGCTAGTACTTTAAGTTAAAGCATGGTTATGATGAATTCCCCTTGTACGTTCTGGGACAGGGAAGGCGGCAGATGGGATGCAGCAGGGGAGGGAAGACGAAAACTTACAGTATTGTGTGCCCCCATAATGAGCCTAACATTGGTCAATAATAAAATTTGCAAGATTGCTATTTTTGTTGCATATGCGCATATAGGTATATTTTTCATATCGTACATATATGAAGTGTTTTGAAAATCAATTTATGTCATGTAGTGTAAAAGAAATAATAGGGCGCACAAATTCACGTAACATTTGACACAAATGTTTACAAGCAGCATTTTACCTTTTGGATGCGTCAATTCGTGTGTTTTATTTTATTATTTTTTTTTTGTTCTTAAGCGTAACCGTGTCATTTCGTAAAAAAAATTTTTTTTTTTTTGCTTTTTCCTTCTTCGACATAAGGAAATATGAATATGGTTCCTGTAGCGCAGATTTATTTCCTGTGATATCTGCTCAGCGGCAAGGCCTGTAGATCTTAATGTGAACACTCAGCGGTTCGATTCCTCGGAAGCGTATCATTGGGGAGCTGGGAGTTCATAGCTAGAGAGGAAGCACACCGACCCCGACCCACTGGCACTCCCTTCGGGGAAAGGTTCACGCCAGCACCACTTATTTATTGTGTATTATATACTATATATAAAAATCTGTTTTTACCTTTTTTCAACACAACAAAAAGGAGCACATGATTGTTGCATAAGGATAGCCATATATGTTAAAGCAGGCATATAAACTTGCTTCAGGTTGTAGTATTATATGCTTCCGCAATTTTCAAGGTGAAATGCTTTTTTTTTGTGTTTTTTTTACTTGCCCCAACGACATATGAGTATGCCGTGGGTTGCACCTATCATTATTTATGGATTGCATTCGATGGGCAAGGGTACACAGATAATTATGTGAGAACCAACAGGTCGAGCCATGGAACGGCTCGATTGACAGGGGCTGCACCGGGGGGAAGCATGCACAACCCGCTGGCTTAATCTGTGGGAACAAGCACAGTCTTATATTGAAGCGCCTAATGTTTCTACTTATAATGTTTTTTTTTTCTTTTTTAATCTTCCTGCCTTATTCACGGCTGCAATGTGTTCTTTGTTCACTCATATATTTAATTGTGTACTTTGCAAATGTTTCATGGCAACACTTGAGATTATTTATGTGTTTCCCGCGGAGGCGTGCACTAAGTTGGAATGCAAGAACACAGGTTTGGAACTTGATGCTTCAGGATACAAGGCAGCATGTCCATGGGCAGCCCTTGTACTGCTCAAGAGGGAAAGGAAGCGCAGAAATGTTTTCCAGTGCAAGAACAATATTTTACATTTCCATTTCTTGAATTCATTTTTGTGTAGAATTAAAATTTTCACCTGCAGTCATCATAATTGAACTCTTTATGTTGTACCTATTTATATATTTATTTGCATCATGTGTCCATGTTTCGCATGTGTGCACGCAGAATGTGCCAAGTTGGGTCACGAGGGAAGCTTCAGAACGGGAAGTAGCAATTTGCGATGCGTGCGTGCCCAATATATGTGTATACATTTTTTTCAAAGGATGCTAATTGATAATGGTATTGACGATGCCCAAACACAAACCGGGGAACATCGTGTTTTTTTTTGTGTTGTTTTTTGGGTACATGTTTGATGGAGCATGCTCTTGTAAATTGCGCAAGAAAATTTTTCCTGTTTTTTTTTATGCACTCGTGTTGGCATATACACTTATTATTCCAGCAATATTTTTGCAGTCGGCACCAGCTCGGTGGTGATTCACTGATACTTCAAAGTGGGTTGATGAAGGTTCGATACCCAACAATTCTCTCGGACTGGAGATCGCACGGAGAGGGAGGGGTTGTGTTCTAATTCCTGAACTTCGGCGGGGCTCCTGTCCTATCCCTTCGCTCGCTGACTGCTTCTTTTTTTAATTTAATCGATCTTCTTTTCCACTTTTCGTTTTTTTTTTTTGTTTTTTATTTTTTTGTTTTGTTGTTTAACAAATGTAGCATGAACTTCGTAAAAAAAATGCGAAGAAACGGTTGTTCATGCATGCACGTTGTATTTTCCCTAAGCCTTGATAATGAAATGCATTTTGTTCTTATGCTCATTGCTGACGATGGTTTGGAGCCTTTGCGGAAGGCTATGTATGTTCACGTCACAAGGGCGTATTTAATTTGTAGTTGTTATGCATATGATGAGTGCAAAATTGAATTGTTTGCGCAATATGACATAGGGTGCTTTCTGAGCTTAGGACCTAGGGCTTTTTGAGCGCAGGACTCAGGTTTGTTTGGAGCTTAGGACCTATGCGTCTTTTTTAACATTAGGAGCTACTGTTTTTTTGGGGTTTGTGACGTAGGGCTTTTCTTGGGCTTGTGACGTAGGGTTTTTCTTGGGCTTGTGACGTAGGGTTTTTCTTGGGCTTGTGACGTAGGGTTTTTCTTGG